ACTAAGGTGGGATGTTCATGGAATGAAAAATGCTGTCTGCTTAAGCTTTTTTTGGGGGGGGGGGGGGGGGGGAGCGAGACTGTGGATGGACAGTCTCATTACCAGTTAAGACAGATGCTGCAAGGTGATTCGAATAATTGATTGTGATATTATGGCAATTATGGAATAATAGACAATTAAAAGCAGAATGAAAAAATTAACTGGATTATGTAGTGAGAGGAAAGTAGCAATATATTGTCTGTTACCCTTCCATCATTGGTAAATTGTTTATTAATGACTCATTATGCTGCTAATATGTTAAAGCTATTAATCAGAATTAGTAATCGTTTCTCTTCTCAGTTCCTAGGGTGCTTATTTAACCTTGAAAAGTTAAATGCCTGGTTAAGGTGCCACTTTATCTTTAAATAGAATAGTTTTCATTGACTCAGATGAGATATTGTGGAGATATTTGGTTAATTAATTGTCACACTGTTGTTCTGAGGGGTATTTTTTCAATGTCATGGTGTCTCAGTTGCTCATCTCAATGACTATTTTTGCATTCTCTGCTCCATAGTTGGTTTCACTGCACAGGTCAAAGTCATCAGCTGTTGTCCTCTCACCTCTAAAGGCAGCAATGCGTTGCAGAGCGAGCACGATGATCTCTGTATTTATGTAGCGTGAACTGCACTCTGCTCTGAGCTTGCTGTAGTTGATGCTCAGCAGAGGATTTCTCACTGAAGATGCCTCCCTCAAAGTTCACTGCAGTATTCTGCGAGGAGGCACACAGAAAGTCACTGCATATTTGTGTAAGGTGTTCGGTGCACAGATTAAAAATGTCCACCTACAATATTTGTGGACAGCCACAAATATAGACCCACTCTGGGTTAATAGTAAACCGTACATAAAAAAAGAAAGCCGAGCAGAGGCGGAACATGTTATCTGTTAAGCCTGTCAAAATTTAGACTGCAGAATCACAGCACAGAAGAATCACTTGTATTGAATTATATATCAAATTGAATCAAACCGTTATCAGAATGTGAGATTGAATGATGCACTGAACCTTTGCTGAAATAATTGAAATCAAATAACTTCTGGTTTAAATTATGAAGTCACCTAAGATTTTTGCACATTGTTGTTTAGTTCATTCCAGACTGAATTACTTGTCTTCATCATAGTAGTTTTTAAATCCCGAAGATTACTTATTAATAAGAAATCACTAACAGCTTTCAGTGGTGGTTAAAACAATTCTATCTGACTATAGCTGACAAATTTTCCAAAGGGCATAATGTCAATAAAAATGCTATAAATTCATTCAAAATTTGATTTCAGTGGAGCTTTTCACCAAGAATGAGACTGTTTCACCAAATTTTACGGCACCTATATCAGAGGTGTTAAAACACTAATATCAATCAATAGTTTAATTTACCTTTTTTTAAGGAGCGTGGAAAGAATGTTGAAGACGTGAAAAATGAATTTTTCATAGGATTTTATGCAGTCCTGTGAAAAACTAATCACACCCCATCATTCAGTACCTTGTAGATCCACCTTTAGCACCAATAACTAAAAGTAATCATTTTCTGTGTGACTCTATCAGTCTTTCACATCAATGTGGAGGAGGGCAGGTCCACTTTTCACTTCAACATTTATGCACAGCTCTCTTGGGTTTCCACCGCAGCACTTCAGTCAGGTTAACGTTTGACTGGGCCATTGCACCGCCTTGATTCATTATTCAATTCTCTTCTATTTCAGTCATTCTGTTGTAGTTTTGCTGCTGTGCTTGGGATCATTGTCCTGTTACATCACCCAGTTTGGGCTAAACTTTAGCTGTCAGACAGATTCACATTTGACTCTAGAGTACTTGGGCATACAAAGGAGTTCATGGTCAAATGACCTCAAGGTGCCCAGGTTCTGTTGCTGCAAAACAAGCCCAAATCATCACTTCTCCACCCCCGTGCTTGACAATTGGCATTAGTAGTTTGTGCTGATATGTCGTGATTGGCTCAAATGCACCAGTGTGCATTACTGCCAAACATCCCCACTTTGGCCTCATCTGTTAAAAGGATATTTTTCCATAAGTCTTGTGGTTTAATCAGATGCAACTTTGCAAACCTTGCAGCCCTTCCAAACAGAGCAAGCGTATTCTTTTGTGGGATTCTTTTTTATTGTAGTCTCATGAAATTTAGCCATTAACATGCTAACAAAGGCCTGTAGAGTCTAAGATGTATCTCTTGGGTTTCTTTGCGGTTTCTCTGAGCATTGCACAGTCTGAACTTGGCATGAATTTGCTTGGACATTCCCTCCTGGGATTGTGTTAACACAATGAAATGCTCCAAACCAGAGAAACTGCTAAAACGTCTGCTGCTATAGAGGTGCTCACATTAGCTACTTACCCTGTGAATTCTTATGGAAGCAGTAAGGGTGCTCTTAGTTTTGCACAGGACTGCACAGAGTCCTGTGCAAAGCTTTGCAAAGCTTCGAATTACTGTACATTAGAAGTCCTGTCTGTTCCATGCTCTTTTCTCTGGCAGTCGATTTTTGATTTTACGCCATACCGCAGATGTCTTACTGTTGATCCGCCTGAAACAAGAAACAGACAAAAAAACAAAGATTTAGCTCTGTTACTGCCTTCATCATAATGATTTCTTTTTGTAAGGCAAAAACAACAGGTCACACAAAGTTCTCACATGCTGAATCCATGCATGTTGTGTCCTGATTTAGAAGATTCTCTCTCTCTTACTTCACCGTTTCTCCTTTTTCCTCCAGTGGATTCTTTTCAGTTTTCATCCTCCTTTGCTCTGGGAATAAGACTGACTTCTATTTATATGCTCAGATGCTGGGGAGATGCAACCCCATGGGATTTCTTTACAGCTTTTCCTGCTCACTTGCTCTCTCTCTCTCCCTCTCCCTCTTCTTCCCCCATGTCCTTTCTTTATTTCTTTGAGCATTTGAAGTTGAGGGTTAACCTATTTTTGCATGTTGCCAATAAACCAACTAGAGCTTATAGAGTAAGCTCAATCGTCAATTATCGTTTGCCTTGTGACTTGTGATTAAACTGTAATGACCATAATTGTTCTCTTTGAGTCACTCATCCATAGCAGAAGGTGTCTGAGCAGCAGACTGATTTGTGCCGAACCTAAAATAACTTCTTCCATAAGTGCGCAGAAGGTTTCTAGAGATTTAGAGAAAATAAAAAAAAATTAAAAATCGAGCTCAAGTTCTCTCACACAGTAAAGGCATAAATTTATACAGTACAGTATGCTGCAAACAGAAATCCCTTCTAGTAACACGATGCTCACAAAGTTTTATCCCCTAAGTGGGTTATGCATATAGTAAAGATCTGCTCAATTACACTAAAGCCAACTGAAAAACATCTTTCTCAATTGCAACCTCGACATTTACGCAGACAACTCTCGTTTAAATGCATTTTTACAGTCACACATTTACCTGATTAAAATGTTACAGAAAAGATTCCACCAGCTGGCAGGTGATTTTTTTGTGTGGACCTCCATTTCTTTAGTTTTATGATAGTTTTAGCTTTATGGCGTCTTTATAACAAGATTATATTATAACAATATTATATTTTAAAAATTTCTGACATGGATATATTTTGGAGTATCTGTATCACAGAAGAATACAGTCATCTGAAGTTACAGTCTCACACAGAAATACATTTTTAAACCACTTTGAGTCTGAAGATGTGTGCATGTTGCATATTTGTCACCCAGAGTGTGCATTTTTGCAGGAGTCAGCATCAAACACCATGTTTCATGTGTGCACCATTTTTCTTTTTGCAAAAATAAATACAAGTGGTTGAGCCGCTGGACTGTGAAGCGTTGTGTCTGGGCTGAGCTCCTGCTAGAACGTTTTGGCTTCTTAACAAGATGTAAGAGTTGCCTCTGCACCCCAATGCATCCGACTCGCTATAGGGACATGTCACCTTTTTGTGAAGTGCCGCATCCAGTCTGTGGACTTCGGTATAGAATAGGTTATCTGCTTCTCTGAGCATGAGGACAATTTATGACATCAATCTGCTCCTGAATTTGTATTCCAACAATGATCTCTCAAACAGCACGCACAGCAACAGGGGGGACTGGATCTGTTAGTTTGCCAAATCATATTGTGTTGAAGCAGAGGCTTTATGAATAATTGATGGTAAATATTTGACTCTCTGCTAGGTGATTTTATGATGTCCTCAGCAGCCTTGTGTAAAATATTCCCCCAAAACTCAGCAATAATGACAAACATGATAAACAGTTGGTGTAGGTCTAGTGGTTTCTGTGACAAAAATGTCTCTCTGAGACTGAACATTACACAGTAGCTGGACAATAAAAATGTTTCAAAATTAATGTTTTTTCCCTGTCTTACTTTTATCTTGGGTATTCCTGTGATGCCGAATGCATTTCTCTGCGCTACTTGTGATATTTTACAACAGCTATTTTACCTGAGATTGTCTACTACAAACTACACAAGTTCAGCTTCAGATGTTTATTTAGCTTTTCATTTGCAATTGCAGTCGTATAACTGGTTCTTTGATGCTTACATCTTTTCTCTGATGACTGAAGACACTTGTGAAATCCCTTTTGCAGTACTGACTCTAAATTCAGTGAATATACTTCAGAGTTCACCACAGAGGCTAGAGCAGGAAATGGCCTGGATCACTTGTTTCCTCAGTCTACTGGGCTTCTTGGCCAGGCGACTCTCGGTCCCCCAGATGTGCTAGAAACATATTGTTTATTGTGTTTTTTTGCTTGCTTATGCTTCCCAAAGTGTTAATGTGTTTACAGGTTCACCCTTTTGATAAAGACACTTTTCAATAAGCCAACCAATTGGAAGAAAGTCAGTCAAATAAGTCAAGTATTTTTTGTTGATTGTAGAAACACGGTGATGGATACAGACACTTCTTATCAAGAAATGCCAGTCATGTAAAAATACATCATTTTCAAGCTTTGAAGCGCTGTTGTTCTCACAGCTTTCTTATCACAGCTGACTCAAAACCCTGCACTCTTTCACTTTACCCTCAGGTCCTGCTCTGGTGGGTGTAGTCAGGAAGGACTGGGCCTCTCAAAACAGCATCGCCCTCTCCTGGTCAGAAGTGGAAAAGCCACCCTCAGACATAGTGGATTATGAAGTGAAATATTATGAGAAGGTAAACCCTTTTTGTCATATTGAATGACGTTCTTCTTCTTCTTCTCTCAGACTATGTTTATGTACAATGTGTAATTCTCTTTGTGGCAAAAGCGTTTTTTATTGCCGTTGCTCTAGAATGCACCACAGTGAATAATTGAGAAAGCTAAAACATAAGTGTGGAGCATCCATAATGTGTCATTATCCCTGCTTTGTTCACCATCTGCTCTGATAGTTAATAGGACAGAAATGATGTCTTCTGTTAAGACATTGCTGTGATAATGGGTTTATGCAAAAACACGTTTATCTCTTGTGCCATAATGTGGCTTTGTTTATCATGTTTGGCAATCTGTTTCTGCTTTTCTAGGAGCAAGAGCAGCTGAGCTACTCATCAACACGGACCAAAGCCCCCAGTGTTGTGGTGACGGGCCTCAGACCCTCGACTGTTTATGTTTTCCATGTGCGCGCTCGCACTGCTGCTGGCTACACAGCATACAGCCCCAACTTTGAGTTTACAACAGCAGCTGAGGGTATGATTGCAAGGGATGGGGCACTTGGGAGTTGTGGTTTGTATGTGCTAGGGAGGAACGGCACTGATAATCAGGCAGATTTGTTGTTCCAGATGGATTTGAAGTATGTTTTAAAACAATGCACAAGAGAGAAAGGGAGTTGGAAAGCCACAGATGTTGAGCCATCACTGTCGATTACCAACTCTATATAATCCTTGGAGACGTTTTATGATCATTCTTTGCTACGAGTCACTGAAACTCATCAGGGCTTATTGAGGCATGAGCCATTTATTTAAGTGCTTATAAGCTTCCATAAGTTCCCAGTTCTGATGGTCTGCTTAAGCATGTATGGCACCCTTTAGATGATGAATGTGTACATATTCACTTGAATATTCTCACATTTCACTATAAGAGTGAATTTGATATAAGTCTGTTGACATTATATAGTGCAACTCATAAGTCGCACAGTTCACGTATACTTTAATTTTACAATAACTGTTATAATAAGAAATGTAAGAAAAGTTATCCACAAGTAAATGTTTAATATATGTGAAATGAAACATTTACATGTCAGTAAAGGAAATGTCCCTGTCTCCTGCTACTTCTTATTATTAACCAAATATATATCACCAAGCTGATACTGACAATGGATGCAAGACGAACACCGGAAAAAAAAAAAGGATGTTATTTTGCAGTGCAAGAGAAATTTTTGTTTAAAGGCAGATGTGATTAAACAGTTTTTTGTTTCCTGTGCAGTCCTGTGAAAAAATAAGTACTCGTCATGATTCAGTAGCTTGTAGAACCACCTATAGCACCAGTAACTTGAACTAATTGTTTTCTGTGTGATTTTATCAGTCTCTCATATTGTTGTGGAGGAATTTTCTGCACACTCTTCTTTGCAATGTTGTTTTAGTTCATTGAGGTTTGCAAGCATTCATTTTTGCATAGCTCTGTTAAGGCCCCAGATTTGCTGATGTGCTTGAGATCATTGCCCTGTTGCAAGAATGTGATGTTATACAGAGGAATTTGTTTGATGACTGCTAGACAGCCAGGTTATGTGGCTTTGCAACTAGCGCAAATCGTCACCCCTCCACCACCATGCCATGGTCTGTTGGATTGTTTTCAAACATGATGCTGTGCATTATGGCCAAACATCTCCACCCTGGTCTTGTCTGTCAAAAGGACTTTGTTCCAGAAGCCTTGTAGTATGTTTGGATGCAGCTTTGCAAACCTATTAGGGAGAAGAAACTTTTTCTTGTCATCCCTTTCAAACATGATACACTTGTTCAGTCTTTTTCTGATTGTAATGTCCTAAACTTTAACATCTAACATGACAACTGAGACCTGTAGCATCTGAGATGTAGTCCTTAGGATTTCACAATTCCTTTGACATTGCGCACTCTGACCTTGGGCTGACTGTCTGGGACGTTCACTCTTTGGAAGATTGTGACATTATGTTAACTCACCTGAATGCTCCAAACCTGCAAAATGCCTAAACTTCTCCTTTTATGGAGGTGACTACTCCTCCTGGTGACCCCTAGTTAAAGTGCATTTTCTTAGCAGCATCTGACAGCTGCTTACCCTCTTAAATCCTACAAAAGAGTGTACTTAGTTTTTTCACAGGACCGCACTGAGTCCTGGAAAGTGCATTTAAGACATTCATGGAGAAATAAATATCAATGACTGTCACTCACATGCAATTGATAAAAAAAAATAATAATAATAATTTCAATGTACAGCTGAATTTTCCATCTAATATGATGAATTCCTTGCAATCCAGCCGCATCATGCACATCTCACTCTTTTAGATTAAGATTATAATAACCTAGTCAGAACAAATCAAATGTCAAAACAGAAGCCAATCAATTCAAATCGCAACAATAACTTTAAATAGGCTTTTCATTTCAGGAGAGACAACTAATCTTTTACAGAGGAAACTTACAAAATGTTTGGATCGTTTCTTTTCATTGGGTATAAACATGGATACTGTTTTAAATTAGTAACAGAGAAACCACAGTCGGTCTTTTCAGTACATTTTGTGTCGCAAAGCAGTTTGTCCTTCCTCTGGTATCAAGTCTGGGAGGGAGAGTTCTTAATATTCAGATGAATGATCTTTCCGCCATTTTCACCGTCACTTTGTTCTCACTTTCCTCAGATCCTGATATTGCTGATCAGGGTCAAGTTCTGGTGGTTGTCACAGCATCTGTAGGAGGTTTTTCCCTTTTGGTCATCCTTACCCTCTTCCTTTTAATCACTGGACGGTAAGACATCCCCTGTTTTTTTGTGTGCACACGCACACA